ATAGATACCTAGCGAAGACTAACAAAGGAATTATTCAGTGGAGAGACGTTAAGCTATTTACGGGATTCGCCTCAGCTGTTATTGGAGAGGACGGAATGTGTCTCAGCTATTACTAAAGAAGATGGGATCCACCTCAGCTAATACTGGAGATTATGAGATTCATCTCAGCTTTTATTGGAGAGGATGATATCCACCTCAGATAATACTGACGAAGATTGGATCTGTCTCAAATATTAGAAACGAAGGACTTAGCCTTTGTGTCAAGACTATTGTTGTCATTACTCTACTTTAAGGTAAATTCCTAGCTACTTTTAATATTACTTGTCCTCGTTTATTACTTTAATATTAATATATTACTTTAATATTACTTTATTTTAAGGTACATTCCTGGCTAATTTAATATTGTCGTTTGAGTTTAAGAGGGGTTGCTCTTATGACGATGCATGTTTTCTTTTGTTTATTAAGATGTGATAGTTTTGTAGTAAAATATAGTTTATTTCTGGTGTAAAATTTTTGTTTTTACGTGACAAGAATAGACAATGTTCAATGGAAATCTGAGGTTATTTCCGTCATAGAATCACGTGGCCCATTTAAACCAATAGAGACCGGTAATTTTATGGTGGAGTGGTGAAATATAAAGACATGCGCATGGAGTTCAGTGACGAGCACCGCTCCTGTGCCAGGTAAGTCCACTACGGGCTCACCATAGCCCGTGCTATTTGCACCGCTCCTGTGCCAGGTAAGTTACGGCCTCACCATAGCCCGTGCTACTTGGAACTTGTTCCGAGTAGCTAAATCAATAACAACAAGTTCAGTGACGTAATGTGAGAGCCCGTACATGGCAGTGACCTTCAAGAGCTCACTACTCGATGTTCTGTCACAGAAAGGAACATCCATGTTCAACTGGCGCTTTAATGTTAAAAATATTGCTACAGAGTTTATAATATGATGGCCTGAGACTATTATTATTTTTGTTTACCACAGAGCAAAACATTTATATTTTGCATAAGCAGAGCAAAACGTTAATACATTTCTCCAATGTTAGATGAATTATGAGTCTATAAGTATAAAGCAAAAATAACTGGGCAAGCAAAACAACACACTGAGTTATTAGGTATTAATCTAGCTACTAAAATCTTAAACTAAATGCAGGTGGAAGGGATTTTCTTTTAATCTTAAAGTGCACTGCAGTCTTTAAATAACCCATCACAATTAATATCTGAAGTAGCTTGTAATATTGAAGGGAATGTGATGTTTGCCAATTATAATACTTTTGCATTTAATGTCTGTGGATTACAAATCATTCTAGAGTTAGAAAATAACGTTGTAGATTGATTGGCCAATGAGGCTTGCTATAAGAAAATACAGAATGGGACTTTAAACTATTTAATGCAATTATTAAAAACGTCCAATTTAAAATCATGGCTTCAGATTTAGAAGAATTAAGAAATGTCCAGTGTCCTGAAAGCCATGATAACTTTTGTAATCAGTTATTTGTTTGGTCAGCACAGTAACAGGACCAGTCAATGTAATGTAGTTAGTGCGCGAATTCGCCTTGGCTATAGACACATCTGGCAGGTTAGTGAGGCTGACCCACTACCAGAATATTCAGGCTGTATTCTCTGTGACGAACAGAGATTAGAGCCTGAAACGTTCACTTGAACACTACATTATTGAATGTGAAACTGCAACAGATTTTAGACCTTGTAGCCTATTGAATAATCAACTTTTGTAATAATTTAAATCTGGTGTACTCGAAGACATTATTACAATTAATCCTTAATTTGTTTGTTCATAAGTTTTTACCAAGCTGCGTGTCTTATGAATACATCCTTGACTTGTGTGACTGAATAATAGAAAGTTGAATTTACAAATTTGTAAATTAAAAAATGTATAATATGATGCAGTAGATTATAATCTCATTATATATAAAGTGTGTGTTTAAATCAACAGTTTAGACCTATTGTCTTATATACGATCTTCTGTTCTGTATAGTAGGAAACATATGCAGCATCCTCTCTGCAATAAGACCTAACTGAATTGCCCATTAGGTAAAACTGTATATTAATCTTGTCAATAAAGTTGCTAATAATAATAATAATAATGTGTTCCGTCGTTGTGGGGATATTCCTCGTTTTCAAGTCAAATTGTCGGAACTGTGAGAACGAATATTGCTGCTTGATGAACCTTAACCTTATTACGTTAATAATTTATTTATTTTTTATTTATATACAAGAAGGTACATTGGGTTTGTGAGGATACATAGCATGGTGTTTACATTGATGACCAGACCACACACTAGAAATTGAAGAGACGACGACGTTTCGGTCCGTCCTGGACCATTCTCATCATACATACTTCATACATTCGTCATCATACTTCAGCCACGTTATTGTGACTCATCGCCTGCATATGGTGTTTACATCCTTGTAAAGCAACTAATACGCGGTGTTTCGGTCAGAATGATACCTTGGCGTACCTTGGAAATTTTGGATTCATTATGAGGATATCATCAAAAACATGAGAGCAAATAGTGATTTGCGTATAAAAAGATGCAGTGGACTCGCAGTCAAGACCTGAGAGATTTACACCCAGAAATAAACGGTGTTATCTGAGGAAGTAGAAAAGTGTCTTGGTAACCCTGATATTTTGAGGCCGAGACAAGTGGAGGTTATTGGGCTCTAAAGGAAAGGTTATTAGCAATACACAGTCGCCTTTTAACATTGCCAAAGGTAGCCTCACAGTCTTCCTGGTTTGGTGACTTCTGATAATTACTCACTTTCCTGCATTAAAACATTATAATGCTGCTGCATGCATCGTGCAGCCGAGATGTTCCAAGGTCGACGCTTTTTTTACGTATAGCATCATTGCTATTTTAATAGTTTTTACTGGTTACATTAATTTCCTAATTGTCTATTGAATAGGAATTTGATGTGTTGAGTTACGGTGGTCAACGTGTACACCACGAAGCCTGACAATCTACGTCACATATTATCTCTCATGAACTAAATAATATTGTGGTATTTGCCATTAACAAGATTTCCGAATTGATGAAGTGTCAGTATTTTTGGTCACCGGTCTGTTGCCAAAATGTATCCAAATTCCTCTGCTCGCACAACAGGAATATGTATATCTGGATCATTACCTCTCTTGTTTACCGGTAATTCATCTGTAGGGCAGGTAACTCTGGGTATTGTGAAGGTTCTGTGGAACACCCGCGAACCACACACATTTCTTCCGTAATGGAGCTGGTTTGTGTGCAGTCTACAAAGTACACAAAATGCAAAACTCCCATTTAAGTGAGGACCCTTAAGCCTTGGGGAAGAGAATAAAAGGCACTAGAGCGACCCTTGTGGGAAACCGCGTGTGCTCTTGCATATTGTCAACTCCTACCACCATTTATATATATATATATATATATATATATATATATATATATATATATATATATATATATATATATATATATATATATATATTATATACATAATATATATATTATATACATAATATATATATTATAATATAATCCACCACCACCGACTACCATCACCATCCATCACCACCACCACCACCACACCCACCACCACCCACTACCGACCACCACCACCGACCACCACCACCGACCACCACCACCACCGACCACCACCACCAGCGACCACCACCACCACCGACCACCACCACCGACCACCACCATCAGCGACCACCACCACCAGCGACCACCACCACCGACCACCACCACCGACCACCAGCGACCACCACCACCACCGACCACCACCACCGACCACCACCGACCACCACCACCGACCACCACCACCGGTAATCTACATCAACTTGTCCTCGAACTCCGCCCCGCCGGCTGGCAGCTCCGCCCTCTCTTTCATATACATAATCCCGGCCAGGTTGAGGGCAGGCGGAGTGCACATCTACATACTAATTACATGGGACTATGTGGGGCGCTGGTGGCCGCCTTGCTGGTGGCCGCTCTCAGGGGGTACCTTGTTATAGGGGTGAGGTTAGTGAGGGGGCTGTGTTGTCTACTGGTGGGGGCTGTGTTGTCTACTGGTGGGGGCTGTTTTGTCTACTGGTGGGGGCTGTGTTGTGTACTGGTGGGGGCTGGGTTGGTGGGGGCTGTGTTGTGTACTGGTGGGGGCTGTGTTGTCTACTGGTGGGGGCTGTGTTGTCTACTGGTGGGGGCTGTGTTGTCTACTGGTGGGGGCTGGGTTGTCTACTGGTGGGGGCTGGGTTGTCTACTGGCGGGGGCTGTGTTGTCTACTGGTGGGGGCTGTGTTGTCTACTGGTGGGGGCTGTGTTGTCTACTGGTGGGGGCTGTGTTGTGTACTGGTGGGGGCTGGGTTGTCTACTGGTGGGGGCTGTGTTGTGTACTGGTGGGGGCTGGGTTGTCTACTGATGGGGGCTGTGTTGTCTACTGGTGGGGGCTGGGTTGTCTACTGGTGGGGGCTGGGTTGTATACTGGTGGGGGCTGTGTTGTCTACTGGTGGGGGCTGGGTTGTCTACTGGTGGGGGCTGTGTTGTCTACTGGTGGGGGCTGGGTTGTCTACTGGTGGAGGCTGGGTTGAGTACTGGTGGGGGCTGGGTTGTCTACTGGTGGGGGCTGTGTTGTCTACTGGTGGGGGCTGGGTTGTCTACTGGTGGAGGCTGGGTTGAGTACTGGTGGGGGCTGGGTTGTCTACTGGTGGGGGCTGGGTTGTATACTGGTGGGGGCTGGGTTGTCTACTGGTGGAGGCTGGGTTGAGTACTGGTGGGGGCTGGGTTGTCTACTGGTGGGGGCTGGGTTGTATACTGGTGGGGGCTGTGTTGTCTACTGGTGGGGGCTGGGTTGTGTACTGGTGGGGGAGACGGCTTGCTACTGGAGGCCATGTTGGAACAGTCTGAAGGAGCAATGATTCAGCCTTGGGGAGGAAAAGGTCTTCTCCATCAAGTTCAGAGGACTTGATGGATAAGGCCTTCCACAGGGACAACCAACCTGTTGAAGGTTGTCACACAGGTAACCCGGAACCATTGGTATCATCACCATTGGTATCATCATTGGTATCATCACCATTGGTATCATCACCATAGGTATCATCACCATTGGTATCATCATTGGTATCATCACCATTGGTATCATCACCATTGGTATCATCATTGGTATCATCACCATTGGTATCATCATTGGTATCATCACCATTGGTATCATCATTGGTATCATCACCATTGGTATCACCATTGGTATCATCATTGGTATCATCACCATTGGTATCATCACCATAGGTATCATCATTGGTATCATCACCATTGGTATCATCACCATTGGTATCATCACCATTGGTATCATCACCATTGGTATCATCATTGGTATCATCACCATAGGTATCATCACCATTGGTATCATCATTGGTATCATCACCATTGGTATCATCATTGGTATCATCACCATTGGTATCATCATTGGTATCATCACCATTGGTATCATCATTGGTATCATCACCATTGGTATCATCATTGGTATCATCACCATTGGTATCATCACTAACACGACTCATAATCATCACTATAAATCAACATCTTGGTTTATTTGTTCACATGTTTACTTTGGCCATCGGGAAGGGCCGGGTGGGGTCGGGAAGGGCCGGGTGGGGTCGGGAAGGGCCGGGTGGGGTCGGGAAGGGCCAGGTGGGGTCGGGAAGGGCCGGGTGGGGTCGGGAAGGGCCGGGTGGGGTCGGGAAGGGCCAGGTGGGGTCGGGAAGGGCCGGGTGGGGTCGGGAAGGGCCAGGTGGGGTCGGGAAGGGCCAGGTGGGGTCGGGAAGGGCCAGGTGGAGTCGGGAAGGGCCAGGTGGGGTCGGGAAGGGCCGGGTGGGGTCGGGAAGGGCCGGGTGGGGTCGGGAAGGGCCGGGTGGGGTCGGGAAGGGCCGGGTGGGGTCGGGAAGGGCCGGGTGGGGTCGGGAAGGGCCGGGTGGGGTCGGGAAGGGCCGGGTGGGGTCGGGAAGGGCCGGGTGGGGTCGGGAAGGGCCAGGTGGGGTCGGGAAGGGCCGGGTGGGGTCAGGAAGGGCCGGGTGGGGTCGGGAAGGGCCAGGTGGGGTCGGGAAGGGCCAGGTGGGGTCATGAAGGGCCAGGTGGGGTCGGGAAGGGCCAGGTGGGGTCATGAAGGGCCAGGTGGGGTCGGGAATGGCCAGGTGGGGTCATGAAGGGCCAGGTGGGGTCGGGAAGGGCCAGGTGGGGTCGGGAAGGGCCGGGTGGGGTCGGGAAGGGCCGGGTGGGGTCGGGAAGGGCCAGGTGGGGTCTGGAAGGGCCGGGTGGGGTCGGGAATGGCCGGGTGGGGTCGGGAAGGGCCAGGTGGGGTCGGGAAGGGCCAGGTGGGGTCGGGAAGGGCCAGGTGGGGTCGGGAAGGGCCGGGTGGGGTCGGGAAGGGCCGGGTGGGGTCGGGAAGGGCCAGGTGGGGTCGGGAAGGGCCAGGTGGGGTCGGGAAGGGCCTGGTGGGGTCGGGAAGGGCCAGGTGGGGTCATGAAGGGCCAGGTGGGGTCGGGAAGGGCCGGGTGGGGTCGGGAAGGACCGGGTGGGGTCGGGAAGGACCGGGTGGGGTCGGGATGGGCCGGGTGGGGTCATGAAGGGCCGGGTGGGGTCGGGAAGGGCCGGGTGGGGTCATGAAGGGCCGGGTGGGGTCGGGAAGGGCCGGGTGGGGTCGGGAAGGGCCGGGTGGGGTCGGGAAGGGCCGGGTGGGGTCATGAAGGGCCGGGTGGGGTCGGGAAGGGCCGGGTGGGGTCGGGAAGGGCCGGGTGGGGTCGGGAAGGGCCGGGTGGGGTCGGGAAGGGCCGGGTGGGGTCGGGAAGGGCCGGGTGGGGTCATGAAGGGCCGGGTGGGGTCGGGAAGGGCCGGGTGGGGTCATGAAGGGCCGGGTGGGGTCATGAAGGGCCGGGTGGGGTCGGGAAGGGCCGGGTGGGGTCGGGAAGGGCCGGGTGGGGTCATGAAGGGCCGGGTGGGGTCGGGAAGGGCCGGGTGGGGTCATGAAGGGCCGGGTGGGGTCATGAAGGGCCGGGTGGGGTCGGGAAGGGCCGGGTGGGGTCGGGAAGGGCCGGGTGGGGTCGGGAAGGGCCGGGTGGGGTCGGGAAGGGCCGGTGGGGTCATGAAGGGCCGGGTGGGGTCGGGAAGGGCCGGGTGGGGTCGGGAAGGGCCAGGTGGGGTCAGGAAGGGCCGGGTGGGGTCGGGAAGGGCCGGGTGGGGTCATGAAGGGCCGGGTGGGGTCATGAAGGGCCGGGTGGGGTCGGGAAGGGCCGGGTGGGGTCATGAAGGGCCGGGTGGGGTCATGAAGGGCCGGGTGGGGTCGGGAAGGGCCGGGTGGGGTCATGAAGGGCCGGGTGGGGTCATGAAGGGCCGGGTGGGGTCGGGAAGGGCCGGGTGGGGTCATGAAGGGCCTTGTGGGGTCATGAAGGGCCGGGTGGGGTCGGGAAGGGCCGGGTGGGGTCATGAAGGGCCGGGTGGGGTCATGAAGGGCCGGGTGGGGTCATGAAGGGCCGGGTGGGATCGGGAAGGGCCAAGTGGGGTCATGAAGGGCCGGGTGGGGTCGGGAAGGACCAGGTGGAGTCATGAAGGGCCGGTGGGGTCATGAAGGGCCGGGTGGGGTCGGGAAGGGCCATGTGGGGTCGGGAAGGGCCGGGTGGGGTCAGGAAGGGCCGGGTGGGGTCGGGAAGGGCCGGGTGGGGTCATGAAGGGCCATGTGGGGTCGGGAAGGGCCGGGTGGGGTCATGAAGGGCCGGGTGGGGTCGGGAAGGGCCGGGTGGGGTCGGGAAGGGCCGGGTGGGGTCGGGAAGGTCCAGGTGGGGTCGGGAAGGGCCGGGTGGGGTCGGGAAGGGCCATGTGGGGTCGGGAAGGGCCGGGTGGGGTCATGAAGGGCCGGGTGGGGTCACGAAGGGCCGGGTGGGGTCGGTAAGGGCCATGTGGGGTCGGGAAGGGCCGGGTGGGGTCATGAAGGGCCATGTGGGGTCATGAAGGGCTGGGTGGGGTCATGAAGGGCCGGGTGGGGTCATAAAGGACCAGGTGGGGTCATGAAGGACCGGGTGGGGTCGGGAAGGGCCGTTTGGGGTTATGAAGGGCCAGGTGGGGTCATGAAGGGCCGGGTGGGGTCATAAAGGACCAGGTGGGGTCATGAAGGACCGGGTGGGGTCATGAAGGGCCAGGTGGGGTCATGAAGGGCCAAGTGGGGTCAGGAAAGGCCGGGTGGGGTCATGAAAGGCCGCGTGGGGTCATGAAGGGCCGGGTGGGGTCATGAAGGGCCGGGTGGGGTCGGGCAGGGCCATATGGGGTCGGGAAGGGCCGGGTGGGGTCATGAAGGGCCGGGTGGGGTCGGGAAGGGCCATGTGGGGTCGGGAAGGGCCGGGTGGGGTCATGAAGGGCTGGGTGGGGTCGGGAAGGGCCGGGTGGGGTCATGAAGGGCCATGTGGAGTCGGGAAGGGCCGGGTGGGGTCACAAAGGGCCGGGTGGGGTCGGGAAGGGCCGGGTGGGGTCGGGAAGGTCCAGGTGGGGTCGGGAAGGGCCAGGTTTGGTCGGGAAGGGCCGGGTGGGGTCATGAAGGGCCAGGTGGGGTCGGGAAGGGCCGGGTGGGGTCGGGAAGGGCCGGGTGGGGTCGGGAAGGGCCGGGTGGGGTCGGGAAGGTCCAGGTGGGGTCGGGAAGGGCCAGGTTTGGTCGGGAAGGGCCGGGTGGGGTCATGAAGGACCAGGTGGGGTCATGAAGGGCCAGGTGGGGTCAGGTGCCAGTAACAACGTCATATATGCAACTGACACTATAAAATGTGTTACCATGACAACCCTTCCCATCTTTACCAATATCGACCACAGACTATATATTGTATTTTAAAATGAAATAACAAATACAGGAGAGCGAGTCGTGGGCCTTTTATGCAAGAAACAAATATATAATTCATTCACAGCTTTTGTTGAAAACAGTTCATTCTCCCTCCGCCCTGAACATCGGTATAAAACTGCTACCAAGAATTATATCTAAAAGTATGTGGTATAGCACTATTTTTATAGATAAATAGAATTTATTTATCGCAAGTAACAAAGCTGATATCAATAGCCAGGGTCCCGAAATGAATGCCGTCCCAGCCACAAGGCATTTTTCATGTCACTACAAAAGCTAAGAAGATTATTGTTGGAAAGTCCATTTTAAATCCTCATTCAGAGCTCCACGTGAAGCCGCCATTACTTATTTTTAATGAACAGGCATCAAGAGTATCTTTATTCATTTTTGGTTATTCATTACAACATTTGTTGACGGTTTTGTTGTTATTTTTACTGTTTGTAATATGTTTTAACTAGGAGGCTATAACTAGGTCCATAACTAGGCTTTGCTAGTTATAGTCAGGGATGCCTATCTATTTTGAACGAATAATTTGACATAACAGACTTTTTGATGAGTTGATTGTTGGTGTATAATTGTGATTGATGAGTATTGATTGTTGGTATATTGAATGTTTATATGTTGATTGACGTGTTTTTTTTTAATTAATGTATTGATTGTTGATGTGATTGATTACTGACACATTGATTGTTGACGACTGTATGGTCGATTGTTGCCATATTGATTGTTGACATTTATTGTTGACGAACTGTTTGTTAACGCATAGTTAGTAGAGCAGCAACAGCAAGCAAGTCTGCTAATAACGGAGGACCTCAAATATAGGATAGTGTGGGCCTCGAAACCCCCCCCCCCCCCTCCGTGGCGGAAAGAAACATGGGCAGCAAAGTTACTAAACTTTACGGAAAGGAACTTTTTAACGAAAATACATTAAATAGATAACACACGAGAAAGAGAACATACAGTAATATTAATGTACCTAATTCCCTTCCCCCTTTACACCTCTCAAACGTTCTAAATGTTCTCTCTTGAGCTCACAACTGTCGCTGTCGATAAGGAGGTTCTGGATTATTATTTCTTGAACTCATCCACTTGCTTTAGGAATATGTTGATTGGCAATAGTGTCTCACAGATGTGTGTCTGAATACTTGTCGATCATTTGTATGTTGTATGGCTGTCAATCATTAGTGTTATGTGGCTGTCAATCATTAGTGTTGTATGGCTGTCAATCATTAGTGTTATATGGCTGTCAATCATTAGTGTTGTATGGCTGTCAATCATTAGTGTTGTATGGCTGTCAATCATTAGTGTTATATGGCTGTCAATCATTAGTGTTATATGGCTGTCAATCATTAGTGTTATATGGCTGTCAATCATTAGTGTTATATGTCTGTCAATCATTAGTGTTATATGGCTGTCAATCATTAGTGTTATATGGCTGTCAGTCATTTCTGCTATATGGCTGCTAGTCATTACTGCTATATGGCTGTCAATCACTACTGTCATTACTGAATGACAAATGAACAGGTCAGTAATATTGTTCCAGACAGGCTGCTCTCTCCACAGATTTATTTTTACAATTAACACAAAGTGTATTTTTTTAACTTTAACAAATAAATACAGGATGTATTAAACCAAAATTTATCCAGAGGATAGATGATGATAGTTGCAAATGATACAACACACAGTCTC